GTTTCACTAATGGCAGGGTGCTATTGTGTACCAACTTAAAAATTACAAAAATCAAAGAAATGATCATTAGCGCCATCCGACAAGTATTAAATAAAGCAAATTATATTACCAAAGTAGAATTCCAATATGGTTGAGCCGCATGAATTCTCTTCTGATCTGATTGTGAACATGAATAAGATTATGCAGGTAAATTTTTTCTTTTCGTTTATTCTACATTATTATTAAATTTTATTAGCACATAACAAATAAATAAATAAACTATGTAGTAATATGATAATGATAGGTAGTGAAAATTGTGATAAGCCAAAAATTAATGAAAGTGAGGTTATAGGAAAGGATATTTTTATTACGATCGATATAAATAGAATTTTTCATTAGCATTCTGTATCTTGTTCTATCTGTTCAGCCTTTAAAAACTCATACTTAATGAGTGACGATCCTAGAAACAATTGAAAAGTTTTTTTTTTAAGGTCATTTCTATAGAATATTTACTTTAAAATGAATAAAACTTACCTGTTCAGTCTTATTCCAATTCACAATCAGAAGAGAATTTATCCTGGTCAACCATATTGAAATTCTACTTTGGTATTATGAATTGCTTCGTTCAAAATTGGGTAGGTGGCGCTGATAGTAATTTATTCTATTTTCCAATTTTAAGTTGGTACACAATAGCAGCCTGCTATTGGTGAAACTTACCCTTATATAATCTATTGGTCAGCAATAGAAAAATTATTGTGCTGGCACGGTAAATTTTACTAACCTAACCTCTAATTTTTATTTAATTTGAATATAAAAATTATTTTTCCAACAATAAATTTTATTAACATTATTTACAAACTTTCTTTTATATTTCAGCTGTAATTTTATAATAATAATAGTAATATTAATAATATTAAAAAAATAATGGTAAAGTATGACCGCTTTTACGACGCACGTGTACAAATGTGGATGAGCATGCGTTGAATCTTTGTCATCACGAAGCTGTATGATGATTTTAAAAATTTTTTTCAAGTTTTCTGTAATATATCCATCAATTCTATAGATATTTTAAATTAAACAATTGAATTAGATTCGCCAATCAATGTCGAGAAAAAAGTCCCGACTCACGGAACTCTCTGCCGATTATTAATAATTTAATTTTAATTGTAAAATATAGGCCTTCAATCGCTTGTGTGCTTGGAGTGAGAGAGAAAGTGAAATTTTCCCGTGCTGCAATAGAAAAATTCTAGGACAACAAGTAAAATGTATGTTTTATCCTCTAATTTTTCTTCAAAATTATATCAATTATTCGTTGTCCAAAAAAATTACCGTGCTGAACAATGAAAATTATTAGCTAAACTAAAATTTTCCTAGTGAAACTTATAATTTTTCATTTAAATCTTTATAAAAATCACCAAACTGACAAAATGCATCCAGTTTATATTGCTGGACTATAATTTTTATTTTGCATTTTTCTCCGTGTAGGAAAATAAATTCGGAATCGATTGAAAAAAGATAAAAAATGGAATTTAGTGAGTGTTTGTGATTAAAGAAATATGTGTCAAGTCTAAAATTCCAAAGCTTATTTCAGCTCTCGAATACGAATGAAAAGAGTTTTAATTTTTCGCCCGGCTGAACTTAGCACCGCAATCAATGAAAATACGAGAATAACACTTGGCTGCGTTTTCAACGAATCTAGGGGTAATATCTGCATAATGTTGACTCTTATATCACTGTGTATATATACGTGAAATAGTTATATTATTTTGCATAACCATTTTCAGGTATTTCGTTAGTGAGATGAAATTTTATTTTTAATTAACATTGATTATTCAATAATTCCTTTTTTTATTAAAACTTCAATTTAAGTTTTAATTTTAATAACTTCTAGAGTAATTTAAGTACAGGGATCTTTGCGAATTTTTTTAAGGGTTTGGAAGGGGCAGTTGAATTTTTTCAATAGAAAGCTTTTCAAGTGAAGATAGTAAGCTTCAAGATACACTTTGATTGATCAAGATTGGACCATTTATCACTAAGATATGAATGTCTAAGTTTTTGTCTAAGAATCATTCAAATTCGCTTTGGACATTGACTAAAAAATGAAGTCTATGACTTTAAAGTTCAATAACTTCTAAAAAAAAGGTAATATATTAATGATTCAAAGTGCATTTAGAAGCTTAAAGTCTGTAGTATAAAATACATATTTTTTTATTAATCAGAAAAAATTGTTTTATTGCAGAAAATTGCGTTTTAATAAAGAGATGATTTTTTTGAGTATCAGAAAACTTTTATGCCCATGTTTAAGAATTTTTTTAGGGGTTGCAAGGGGTAGAAAATTTTTTCTAGTGAATAGTATCTCAAGAAGAGACATTGAGCTATAAAATGCGTTTTGGTTGATCAAGTTTGGACCATTTTCCTTCAAGATATAGATTTTTTTGTGAAGAATTTAAATTTGCTTTGAAAATTCACCAAAAAAATGAATTTTCTAACTTTAAAATTCCATAACTCCTAGAAAAATCATCATATATTGATGATTCAAAGTGCATTTGAAAGCTCTGAGTCTCTCCTATGAAGTCACTTCCTTTTATTAATCAGAAAAAAATTTATTCCAAGCAGAAAACCACATTTAGACCCAGTGATCATTTTTTGATAATCAGCACAACTTTACATCCACGGTTAGGAATTTTTTTAAAGGATTACAAAGGATAATAAAATTTCTTGAATGAATAGCATCTAAAGTTTGAATAATCAGCTTCAAAATGAACTTTGATTGATCAAAATTGGACCTTTTTTGACCAAGATACAGATTTCTAAATAACACCCACCTCAAAAAGATGCTGATTCCTTGACACCTAGCTTATTCCGGATCTTTGAAATCAATAAATAAATATTATCCTTGGCAACAATTTGTTTAAAACTCCTCCTAGATGTTGATCAAAGTCATTCCAATGATATAAACCCAGAAAAGAATCTAAAAAACATCTAAATAATATGTGAATGATATCATTTATCTAAAAAGCCTTGGTAGCCCTTGTTTTCTTTACTGATAGGTTGAATTTAATTCAATGGTGACACCAATTCGTACCACGTCCGATATTCAATCTTAGCAAAAGCACCAACGGTGTTAGCTTTATAGCGGCCATCCAATTTTACGAACCGACCTAAGGAAGTAATGAGAAAAAAGCGAACCCGTAAAAGGATCTGAAGTGAGCTCGCGTTTGAAGAAAAATATCAGCGATAATTCACCAACACTACCAACACTCAACGTGACATTTCCTCTGCCATTTTATTCCTGTATCTTTAGGGGGTTATTTATAAATATAAATACATACACTCTAAGAAATGTCGTCGAATCCTTTAACCAGTGAGAATAGAAACCCCAAAAGCCGAGCTAGATGATGACACTAAATTATTTGATGAATTAAATAAGGATTTACGAAAGATATTACAGATGATGGATCCAACGATAAAGCAATAAATGCCACCACCTAAGGTTCTTTATTTTGTCCACCATCACATCCTTAAACCCCCTAGTTTCATTTATTTATATAAACCTTTATTTATTTATTACACTTATTATCTTACATTGCTTTAAATAATTCATTTAATTGCATTGCTTTTTTTCTGAAGAAAAACAGTTGGTGTCTTCTTTTTTTTCCCCCCCTTGCTCTGAGCTCATTCGTTAGTATTTTTCTCGCTGTTGCGCGAGATGAACAGGGTAGCAATTGCAACGATTCTAGAATACTAATTAGGAAGGTTTGTATTGCAGATTTACAAATTTTTATTTCGTCTCGTTTTTCTTTCCCAAGTTTATTGGAATGGAAATTAAATGGGATATTTTTTATTCGAAACTATTTATTATTCAAATTATTTCTTTTTTTTCTTTCACTTCTAACATCTTATAGGTCTTTAAAATGATCTCCAAGATTTGTTTTATCAGGAAGAATCAATGAAGAAATTTGTTTTAATATTTATCTGTTGATGTAAATTATCACCAACATTGTAAATATGATGTAATTAATATTTAGGAATTAATAGATTTGATACTTGGAGCTTGTTTACAGTTATTGAGGGGATTTGGTTGAAATAGTATTTATGTAGAAGTACTTAGTCTTTTTCATTAGATTAATTTACTCGAATGAATCCTACTTATAGTGTGGAACCAATTGATAAATTTGTTTCTCACAATTGATCCTCTTATCCTCCATCAATAGCATCAATCTTATTGACACGTGGTCTGAATATTGACAACGGCAAAATCAATAATTCGATTTAATTGCACGAGATTCCGATCGTCATTAAAGTTTTAACCTCGGAATACTGCCAATCGCACAATGAACATTGGCTAGGTGGTGAACGAGAGTACTAGATTATAAGCCGGACGTTAATGCGGCTTCGAAATAGTTTCCGGAACTAATTTACTCGACTCGAGTATCATTCGTATCTGGAGATTTCTTCTCTTTATTTTATACTTTTTAGCTATTATCTTGAAATTGATCTAGAAGGTTGGAAAATAACTGACTGGGAATTTTTAATAAAAAACATCTGGTTGATCGTCTTTATCATCTAGACCTGGCCCTAGTTCTGATCATGTTCCTAATCCATCATTATCTAGACCTAGTCATTGTCATTATCATCATTATCAGGAACCAAGACTTGGTCTTATCCTTGTCCTGGTCCAATATCACCTAGACCTGATCATTATCATCATTATCAGGAACCAAAACTTGGTCTTATCCTTGTCCTGGTCCAATATCACCTAGACCTGGTCATCATTATCAGGAAGAAAGACTAGTTCTGATCTTGATCCATCATCAGCTAGACTGGCCTTGTGCTGATGCACTGACATCATCCAACAATTTGTTTTCCTTGATCAGCAATCACTTTACTGATCAACATTAACCTTGATTAAAATTTGCGTAGACTTAAAAAGCAAATTTCTTATGAAATAAAAAATAAAATCAATCAAACGATGTGATAATCGACATCTTACTAAACATTTATATTTATTTCAATTCCAGATGGCGCAGTAAAGGAAATCACTCCTCAAAGGAGTACACCAAGGCGTGAATGAGAGGTGGAAATGAACTACTCACAAGGTAGGAATGGAAATTGATTTAAAATCACAGCATAATTTATTAATAATTATCAACAACTATTAATCAGTCTTGATTATATATTCTATAAATACAATATTTTTCTGCTTGAGAGGATATAATTCATGATAATTAGAAATTTAAACTCATTCGACAGAGGCTAATCAAGTCATAGAGGTAGAAAACGAATTCCATTGATGACTGCTAAACATTTCAAGAAAGATCCTCCTCAAGACGTCTTGGTTGTTTCTGACAGCATGAAATGTCTAGTGCAGATCGTAAGGAGGTTAGCGCGCTTGTGATCTGACATAATACAAGAGCAATTTAGTGAATGGAGCTAATTCAATATAATAGAAGCACTCAAGCATAACATGAGCTTTCTGTCTTTCTAGCTTCCTCTAAACGTTATGGAGAATCTTTACGATTATTAAACAAGGATATTCCTTGTGGGTCGTTGCTTGTTAAGTACACTATGCTATTATTTTTGTTTTCTAATTAGTAATTATTACCAGAAATTATCCTAATAATACCTATAAAATCACCATCATTTTCTAGCTCTATTCCTAGAGCTTTGGCTTCTGAAGCCTGTATCTTGGTTTGAAATCAACCAATTCTCATCAAACAAGAAGCTTTTTAAAGCTTCGTTACTCCTCTTCCTATCTCTGAAGCTAAAAAATTCTTATTCCTATCCCAAGTGCCTTGAAAAAAACAAAAACCTTGATAGTGATGATCTCCAAGTCTTGATTCTAGAGTTCTATCTTCTAGAGCCTATATCTTGGTCGCAAATCAACCAATTTCAATCATCCAGGATGCTTTTTAAAGCTTTTTTTTCTCCTCTTTCCAGTCCCAGTTTTAAAAAATTTTTATTCCCACTCTTTGTACTCCAAAAAAAAATAAACAAGATGATGATGTAAATAACAAGTTGATGAAAGCTAGGTTCTTCAGCTTTAGGTGATTGAATTTTGATTTTTATGTTCCAAAAATGATGAAGAGAGTGATGTTTTTTGTTAGATGAGTATCAACAGAAGTGTTGAAGCAGCATTGATTTACGCATAACAGGTTTTACTACGTTATTGTCATTGTTATTGCTGTCGTATAGACACAATAGCTGTTTAACTTTGAGCAGGCACGGACAATCAATGTAACTATCACTTGCAGTTTCCAGTTTATGCTACGGTTATGCCTTTACACGATTGCTATTGACAAATCGTTATAATGGTCGTAGGTCATGACTCAGACACGTTATTCGTACAATTTACTCGGTCTTAAACATATTGTTGTCACTTTCACTGCTAAAATGCCTGGTTTAAATTACTATAGAACACTGATAGAATAGATTTGTGATAATAAAAGAGGCTTCTTAACTGTTAACAAATATTATGTAACAGTTATAAAATTATACCTTAACGATTGAATATAGCTTTGTTACAGTACAGAACATATTTCGTAACAGTTACTAAATCGTCTTAATTATTAAAGAATTTAATGTAATTGATATAATTCATATTTTATTGTGGTTTATATGGTTTTTTTCTAATATAAAATAACATAAAATTCGAATGAGGTTAGGAATTGATTTTATTTCATGCGTATTTTTATTAATAAAAGTTATACATAAGGAAAAAAGTGAGGTTATGAAGGGTTAATTGATAAATATGACAGTTATGATTGATGTAAGGATAGATGGCGTTGCGAACGCAGGTTTATTAATTGTTAAAAAACATTTCTTTACGATAAAATGAGATTTATTCATTATAGTCGAAACACTGTAAGAGTAGATTTGGAGGTTATACAGGGAAATTATTTTGACGCATGCGCACAAATTACTTCTGAGCTGATTTACAACTTAAGATAATTAATTTCTTGTATAAAATAATTACATGTATAATAATTTCTGATTGATAATAGTTTCTAAAACTTGAAATAATATTTAATAAATATAAAAAACATAATAACTTGAAATAAATAATTTCCCGTATAACCTTAAATTTCACTTTTCCAGTGTGTTTGACTACAGGCGGCGTTGAGAACGCCGGTTTATTAGAGTCCCTTAAGACAGAATCTGGCAAGACGACGCCATATTGCTCGAGTCCTGCCTAAGTTCCCATAAAAACTTATAGGACTTATTGCAGAAAAATATTCTTTAACAGCTAATAAATCATCTTAATTATTAAGGAATTTAATGTAATTAATATAATTCATATTTTATTGTGAATTATATGGTTTTTCTTAATATAAAATGACATAACATTTGAATGAGGTTAGGATTCGGTTTCATTTCATGCATATTTCTATTAATAAAATATATGCATACGACAAAAAGTGAGGTTATAAAGGGTGAAGTGATAAATATAACAGTTCTGGTTGATATAAAGATAGATGGCGCTGCGAACACCGGTTTATTAATCGAAAAAAAACATTTCTTCACGATAAAATGAGATTTATTCATTACAAAACCACTAATGTGTTCATAACTAAGGCTTTTTTTATTGTTATAAACTATTTATTAATAATAACAAACCATTGATTTTAATAATTAAAAAATCGTTTTTTATTATTTATAAATTTCTTCTGTCAGTGTGGCTGTAGTTTTATTTTATTAGTTGACAAAAAATCTATTATCTCTCATCAATGATGCTGTTTAAAATAGCTATCATCCAGTAAAAATATCAGAGATAATTTTTTTACAAAATAAATATTTCTATCATGAAGCTAGAAAATATGATCCTGAATAGAGCAATAGCTTTTGAAAAATATGAATATGCATTACTTGTTTTTACGAACGTCATTCGATATTTCTCAAGATTTTGTATCATGTTAAGAAGCTTTGATCGTTGGAGGAAAGTAGCAATATCGTTCAATATTCTGGCTGATACCCTCTCTCGAGCTACTTTTATGACAAAGACTTAAACTTCTAGCGAAACTATTGGAAGAATAATTTACTTACCCATAAAATAGACTCTTAATATTTTTTCCTCCATCTTCCTGACCTAATTCACATACTTTTATCCATAACTTTGTGTAAAATAAATTATTCCTGTGAATACATTTATTCAATATCTGAAATAATAAAATAACAATCATCTATTTTTTATTCAATCTTATAAACTTCATTTTAATTATGCTTTTAATTAACTTGTTATTAACTTTTATAAATGATTTTAAAAAAATTCATTGTCGTGGTAATTAAATAATTGAATTATTAAACATGATAAATAAGACAGTGGAGGATAAATAGAAATAAAAATAAAATTGGAAAAAATAGAGGAAGGTGAAGAGAATGAGGACCTTGGCTTGTCATGCATCCACCTGATAAATTGTTCCTTGCTTCTATTGTGGACGTCTCTCGTCTTTCCTCTTGACATTACCATTTTTAAAGCGATAACAAATGATACCTCATCGCCAAAAGTATTTCAAACAAATGTTTCATATTATCGCTTTTAGGATACCGTTCAAGTTATTTTACTTTGGAAAGTTATTAATTTTTTTTTTTGTTTTATTTTAAGAAAGTTTTATTGATTTAAAGCTTGGTTAAAAATTGGTTCCAATATCTTCTTCACTCATCCAACAATGAAATTATTGATAAATAAATATGGTAAGAGATATGGAATAAGCTTTAAGGGTTTTTAAAAATTCATTTTTTAGAGATATTAAAATAATGAATAATTTATTTTTATTCTTTTCTTTTAATAAAAAAAACGAGCTTTTGAATGAACTTTGATTCATTTGAAACTAGTGGCTGAAGTTTAGAATATTATTTTAATTTTTTATTAGAAAGTTAATAATAAAGAATTAATTATTATATAATTAATGGGAGATGAGATAGATTTTTAGATTTTTAAGAAGTAGGAGAAAATGAATTATTTATTGTAAGCTTATTTTTATGAAATTTAATTTAAGATATAAATTCGTTTTTAATTTTCAAGAAGATGTCTGTAGGTATGTCAGGGTTTTTTCCGTTCACGAAATCTCGAGGATGAATGAAGATATCGACTTTGTACTGATTTTATTCGAAAGATGATGCAACAAAGAAGATCCGAAAGAAGTTTCAACTAATTCGGTCGAGGTGTTTTTTTGATAACAAAGAAAGTATAAAATAAATAGAGTGATGGAGAATTAGAAATACCTTGTACCTATTGGATGATCAATATTAATATGTCATTGGGTCAATGTCAACAAACTACACATGACTCTTGACAACTCCATATTGTTTATAACAATTGAAATGAGTTATAAACAATGAAAAATAGTTGGCACCGATCAAGTGATGACTGCTGCTGACAGATTGGATCTGTATTAACAAAATACTCTTCTCAATCACCACACATCACTCTCACCTATTTCATATTGTTTATAACAATAGCAATTTGTTGTAAACAAATAAAAAGAGTCTCCCGCTATTGAATGATCATTATTGATGATGAATTGGATCAACATTGACGAAATATTGTTGCTCATCACTACATATAACTTCAGACCATTGGGTATTGTTTACAACAATTACAATTTGTTATAAACAATTAAAAGAAATTTTCTTTACATTTTACTGGAGTAAGTAGAAGAGAATGCTAATGGAAAATTCACCTTGTGGGCACAAAAATGTTTATTATTATTATTATTGCAGTCAATGTTTAGTGCTAATGAAATGTGTTACTTCATTAAAACCTTAAATACTCAATTACAAGATATTTAATGATAATAAATGACTCCGATAATAATATTTAACATATTATATGAGTCTCCACACAAAGAATGTTTGTAAACAAATAATAAAAATAATGAAAATATCCATTTAGTGAATTTTAGTAATGTCATCTCCAATTACTGTATTCAGTTAAATTAAACGTAATATCAAATAACTTTTGTTAGTTGACATTCAACATTTTGAAGCAATTAAATTTTCATTGTAATGTATTTACAATAAGCGAGAAGTAATAGGTTGCTTTTGTAATTTGAATTCATCTATCGAAATAATGTTAATGAATATGGTCACATCCATTTTA